TTCAACTTCTACAACATCTGGGTACAGCCGAGTCTAGGTTTTACGAGTATTTTCGCAAATGAAAATATTACTTCCAAATGGGCTCTCGAGTACCGGTGACTGGAGATGGGACCCAACGAGCTCACAGACAAGTTCGAACATTTAAATGCCCCTTGCGCTGGCAACTGGTTCGCGGACCGTAACGAATGACCGAACCGTATACAATAATTCGTCGCTTTCTTCTTCTTTTGAACTCGTCGGTATGACATCGTCGGACAGAAATTATTAAGAGGTAATAAACTTATCATTTGTTTTGCCTTTTGGATTACATTTACTTATATTTAAAAAACTGAGAAAATGTTGCAATTCGGGAGAAAAGATTCTCGAGTAAACGTCTGACTCTCACTTTTCAAGACTCTAAACTGCCCTCTCGCTGTACGTACGTACACATACATACACGCGTAAGAATTGAAAAGAAACGAACCTAGTGCCTCAAACGAGGCAAGCGATGCCATTATTGGGTCTCTTTTTCGAATCCTCTGAAACGAATACGCTGCGAGTGCACTCATCGACGTTTTCCTCTTCGAGTGGAGCAGGTATTCCGAAACCGATGAAACGAAACTTGACTCAGATTCGACGGTAGATACTGGATTTGATCCCGCCCTGACAATCACACCCGTAACCCGAAACGAATGCCATTCGCGAACGTTCACGTCCGGAGCCCGTTGGTCCGGAGTTTGAAGCGATGCGTCGAACGTGGTCGAACGTTGTCGCGTGATGCGGGTCCACAGTGTTCCACCATACCGTAACGCTTTGGTCCCGTGCACCGTGCGCCTCTATTTCACCATGTCGAGCATGCCTTTGTGCTCAGGTATTCCCTCGTTTCTCCCTGCGTGCGTCTGTCTTTCCGCTTTCATCGTCCGCGCGCGATGTCGCCTTTCGTTTCCCTTCGTCTCTTTCTCTCTCTTTCTCTCTCCCTCGACACAACGGTTCTTTCTTTAGCCGGATTACGAGCCGCCCGGTAGCTGGTCCCGTCGTCTCCGTTGCACGCTTCGTTTTCTCGTTTCTCGAACTCTCTATCTCGTTCAGAGTCAGAGTCTCGTTCACCCTCAAAGTCTGTCGTTGCCAGTGACGGGAACGGGTGGTAGTGGCGAGGACTTGCCGAGCGAGAGAAAGGGAAGACAGCCGGGATCGAGATTAAGGCAACTTGGCAGACTCGGCGACTGCGCCCGCGGTCTCTCTCACTCTCTCTTCTCTCTGTGCGCGGAATACACTTTGTGTGTTGGAATAGCTGCGAGGAGAGACCGCCTTGCCCCCGATCGGAAGCGTCGCGCGCGCCATCCCGCTGACCGATCTTCTCCTCACCGCTCCGTTTCCTGTCACCGACGACAGCCAAACCCCTCGAACGGCCAACAGCCTCCGCTTCTGTTCACCGTATCTTCGCCAATGATCTTTCCCTTTCCGCGCGAGAGACCACCGCTGCTAGTTCTCTGATTCCGGTGAATCGCGCTGGTGTATATGGTAAACAACGATGACGAGTCTGACTCTCTCGAATCTTGGGAATTGGCTTCTAAACGCCACAAATGAAAGTTTCCTTTCGGCGAGCGCAGACGAATTCGGATTCGTTTTGGCAGACTATCTTGGAGCTAGTTTTCTAATCCGTTGTCCTGGAAGGACTGAGCTTTAAGATGTTGGAGATGACAACACCCAGGGGAACACTTAGGAACGTCTATGGACTTTTGTGTAAATCTTATATATTGTCAGGAATATAGAATGAATCATTTGATTGCGTTGCCTATAAATTTATCTGAAAATTGCACAGTTAGCTTGTGAATTATTTCTGGGGATACAAGTCATTACCATCTATACTGTACCATCTAAAGTTACTCGTAAATTATCACAATTCGTCAACTATTTAACATTAGAACCACCGATAAGTAAAGCATAAAATTTCTATCAGAGACATTAAAGTAAAAGAAACAGAAAATCTTTATAATACAATATAGGATACACGAGCTTTTGTTTATGCATTTTACGAAAGATCATTCAAGTCCCTGAAAATACACTGTTTTATATCGGAACAAAAATTGGTCGTTCTGATCATGTTGGTTAGTCCTAGTGTACTTGATTACTTTCTTTGACAGTACAAAGAATGACGGTCATTTACGACACCTGAAAACGTTAGAGCATATACTTGAATATTTTGTTATATTAATTACTTTTTCATTGATTACTTGCGTGATTCTATTTGACACAATAGCAGAATTTTGAATATTAATCAAATTAAAACTTAATTAATGAATATCTCCACGCGACTTAATCGCTCAGACATGAAACATTTCATAAAATATTCCAAATTCGGATCACAACAATTGTAATTAATTAATTAATTAATTATTATTCGGCGTTGGATCGTCAAAGAAACAGCAGCAAAGTCGTAAGAATGGCTGAAGCACAGCCGCGAGCTCCGTTAGTTTTACATCCGAGTGGAGGGTTTAAAGGAAAGATCCGCAACCGCAAATCACACTAATTCTGTTTGCGATAGTAAGTAGTAGCGACCGGCTGCGCTTTGAAGGGCCAGCCAATTAGTAGTGACGAAGATATTACGTAAATCTACTTAAACGAGCGAACACGGGAAACGTAGCCAGCCAGTGTTAACCTCGCATCGATATCATTCGCGCTGCGACAAAAAGTACTTGCAAAGCAATATTGATACAAGTGACAAAATGTTCAAACTTCAGTGTCAATGAAGAGAAATAACAAAAAACTGCAGTCGACTGATAAGATATTCGAGTCTCGCGACGAAATGAAGCATTGTGAAGAAACAACGAAGTTTGTCTCATTTTTGAAAAAAAAATAACACGTACTATTAGTTTTCTATTGAATCTATAGAATTTGTTCGGGGAAATTCGCATCGGAAGCAAGAAGAACCCAATGAATTATGACTTCTACTTCCATAAGGGAATGAAATTCTTCTTCGGCGATGGGTCAAAAAAGCATGGACAAAAATCCGAAGGAAAAAGGCGGTCCGTGTGGCGGCGGTTGCGACAGTTGCCAGGAATCCGCAGAGAGCCGAAACGAGAACAACCGGAGTTCACGTAGTACTGGGGGCTTCTCGGTCGCGTGTATCGAGAAATTTACAATCGGCCGGCAATACGGGACGAATCGAAGCGGGCCGCCAGTTCCCGCTCCTTCCCCGACGTTTTGGTTTCCTGGAAATCTCTGGAACCGATTCGCGCCATTATCGTGAAATCCAATTTCTCTGGAAGCAATTTCCACCTCGGCTGCCGGCTTCCCGAAACTCATCCAGACCGAGAATGGTTGGAGCGGCGAAAAATTCGTGAACAAGGCGACCCGGTCGTCGTCGTCGTCGACGTTGACGTCGTGCTGGCGTTCCATACACACCCGTTACATCCCCGCGGTCACGTCTCGTTTTATCTCTCTTCCTCTCTTCTCCTCCACTCTACACGCTTCGCCTCTTCTTCTCGTTCGCAGCCTCCTTTTTTTCCGCTCTTTTTTCTCTCTCTCTCTCTCCTTCCCTCTCTGTCTGGTGCTTTCGGGCCTCCAGCACGTTCATCGGTGTCTGAAAAGCTCCGGTAGGCAGGCAGACCTACGATATGCTACTGCTCGAGTGTGGGCGCTCGCGCGATCTCCAAGAGAGAGAAGAGAGAAGACCGACAGGGTCGGAGAAGGATAGTGAGAAAACGAAGAGGACGACGCGAGAACGGCGTGACGAGGAACAACTGCGGGGTCGGAAAGAGAACGCGACAGACGGCGGAAGAATGAGAGTGAGAGAGAACAGAGAGAGAGAGAGAGACGCTTAAAGAAAGATAAGGACAGAGCGACAAAGAGAAGCCGACGTTCGGAGAAAGAGAACGAGGGAGCTGAGTGCACACGATCCGAGAGAGAGAGAGAGAGAGAGAGAGAGAAGAACGAAGGATAAAAGGCGAGAATCCAAGAGAAGGAGAAGAAACGTAGAGAAAAAGAGAGGCGGGATCGTGCGCGCTTGCGGAAGAGAGCATCGGCTGAAGCGTGAGGAAGGAGAGGGAGGAGAACGACGACGAGGAGGTCGGGGATGGGAAATCGGCAGAGAGGCAGAGGGAGAGATAGCGGCACGGAACGGAGCGCCAGAGAGAACGAGGGAACGAACGAGCGACAGAGAATGACAGAGAGAAGAGAGAAAAGAGAGATAAAGAGAGAGAGAGAGAGAGAGAGGCGCGCCGAAAGACGAGTTAGTCGAGGACAACAAGGACAGAACGTGGTGGTCGACGAAGATGGCAAAGTCGGACTAACGCGGCCGCCCGATCGAGACCGAATCGAGCCGAGGGCAGGCAGTGCCGTTGGCGTAGTAACGTGCCTTGCCTGCCCGCCTGCCTGCCTGCCCTCCTGCCTGCCTGCCTGCCTGCCTGCCTGCCCGCCTGCCCGCCCGCCTGCCTGCCCGCCTGCCTGCCTGCCTGCCTGCCAATGCTTGCCTGCCTGCCTGTCTGCCTGGCAGCCTGCGCTCGCCTGCCTGACTCATCGTCCGTGTGAGAATGCGGCTGTGTGCCGCGCGCTCTCTGCACGGCGCGTCTGTCGAGTCTCCCGCTCTCTCTTCGCGTGTGTGTATGCGTGTGTATGTGTGCACGTACATGCGAGGGGAGACCCGACCGACGAACGAACCAACGAACGAACGGAACGGTTGTGTGCGTTTCGTATATAGGTGGATGGGGGTCCCGGCCCGGCTCTCGGCCGTCCCGTCCCGTCCCGTAGAGTATCGCACCACTCGCCACCCGCTATCCACAGCAGTTTCAGCCAGCCGCCCGCCTGCCAGTGTCCCACCGCACGCCGAACCGTTTGCACTCAGAAGCGATCAGGGAGCCCTTCTCTCCCTCGACTTCCCCCTTCGAGAGAAACGTGTGTGCGCCCGCGCGCGCACGCTCTTCCACCCCGGCGAGTCGCGCATCGCGTACCCGCCACCTCTATATCCGTTTCTCGTCTCCTGTCTCTCCCTTTCTTCCCACCCCCTCTCCCTCCCGCCCCGCACCATCGTTTCCACGTCTTCGTCGAAGTCGCTCCGCGGTTATTTTTCTCTTTGTTCTTCTTCCCGGCGGGACGATCTACCGTCATTCTTTGTCCTCCTTTTCCATCTTCACCGCACTGCGTTTCCGTTTGCGTCGGTTCTCTTCTTTCTCTCTCCCTTCCTTTCTTCCCCATTCCCGGTTTCGTCATCTTCTTTTTCCACCCTTTTCTTCTTCCTCTCTTTCTTCCCATTCCTCGTTCGCCAACCGAATCTCCCCGGCGCTCTTTCTCTTTTCGCCGCCAGTCACACTCGAAACGCACAAGCGCCGGCTATCGTTTCTCTCCCTCCTGTTCGCTCCCACTCTCTCTTTCTCTCTTTGTCGGTTGGCTGGCGTTCGGCGTGTTTAACCTCCCGCCGTCCCACAAGCACCCCCTCTACTGTACCAGCCGACACCGACGGGCTTCTGTCTCCGTTGGGAACGCGACGGGCCATTCGTTCCGTCTCGTTCGCTCGGCTCCTCTCGTGCTCCGTGTGCGCGCACTGCCGCGCCGTTCCCGGTTCCCTCTTTCTCGCTCCCGAGTAGCTCCGGTGTGTGTACCACCGCTGTCACCTGATCGCGGGACGCTTTTCGCGGGTGAGATACCGCTCGGCCACCGAGTCAACCGAGTCTGCCGCCACCGTCGCTCGGTTTTCCTCATCCCGCGCCCGCCCACCCGGCCGTCGTCTCCTCTTCCTTCGGCATCTGCTCCTACTCTCCTCCTTCTTCCTCTTTCTTTCACGAGGCGCGCGCGCGCTCTCCTTTTCCTTTCCGTCTCGCGCGGACACGTCTCGTCGTGCCTGGTCTCTTCCTATACTCGGCTCTTTGCCGCCGCGCTCGACGTCCAACTTGCGCGCGGCTAGCTGGTGGTTTTCCGCGAGGGAGCGAAACGAAACGAGAAAAGAGAAAAAAAGAAAAACCGAAGAAAAGTCCCTCGGAAGGAAAGGTGGGAAAACCGAAGAGAGAGAGAGAGAGAGAGGGGAGAAAAACCGAGACGTTCTGTTGGTACAGTGAAAGAAAAGAGAAAAAAAAGAGAGAGAGACGAGTAAAAGACAGAAAGGACAGAGAGTGCGAGACGAGAGGCAAAAAGAAAAACAGAGAAAGCCAGACAGACAGACAGAAAGAGAGGGCGAGAGAGAGAGAGAGAAGTGCGCGCCACCGACATCGTCCAACCGCAACTGGCTTGCCCGATCTCTCGCCTCTTCTTCCTCCTTTCACGGATCTTCGCCGGTGCACACGTCTGAAGCCGACCGACTGGAGAGGGAGGTGACACTTTCGGAACGTGGACACGCGGCACGCACGGATCGTCACGCTCTGGGATACGTGAGGATTCAGGAGAACTCCGCTGGCTACCGTGATCTCGTGCAGGTCGGTGATATAGTGTGTTGTGTGTTGCCCGTAGTAGCCGCGCGCGGCCGAGTCAAGTGTGTGTTCCGCGAGTCCCGCTTCTTTTTTTTGCTTCTCGTCTTCGACTCTTCGGCCTCCGTGTGCCGTCCTCTTTTTCTCCTTCTTTTCTTTTCTTTTTTTTTTCCCCCCCTTTCTCACTTCCGCGCGCTCTGAGCCGCGTTTTTCTTCTCGTTTCTTTTTCTCTTTCTTGCTCTTTCTTCCTTTTCGTCAGAGCGTACGGCGGCCAGATACGCGCTAGCGCATTATATCAGAGCCAGTCTCGGGGATCGTCGCCGCGACCACGACAACCGCAACAACGACGACACAACGATCACGACGACGAATGCAAATAGTGAGAGCGCGTGAGTGTCTGTGTGTGTATGTGTGCGCGTGCACGTCTGTGAACCGTCTGCCTCCTTTTCGTTTTTTTCTTTCTTTCGCCTTTTCGCCCGTGTCGGCTGACGACCACTGCCACGATAACATTCGCGATTCGAAAAGACACGGTATAACTCGTGGATGCATCAAGTCCCGGCGTGACTGCGCTTTTCTTTTTTCTTCCTCTCTTTTCTTACGGCTCGTTAAAGCTCGCGGAATCGTCGCGCCTCGACGTCGTCCCCCCATGAATATGGAGATGAACGGTCGCCCGCCTTCGTCTCTCCTCGCTTCTCGCCCGTCATCGTCGCCGCCAAGCCACCACCGTGCTCGAGTTTCTTTCGAGCGTTCGCACGCGACCCGCGCCGCGGTGTTCGTTCGTCGCGCGTGACAGCACGCCACGCGAACGTCGTCCCGTCTCTTTCTCGTTCGTGTCTCCACCGCGATCCAACGTCGTCGCGGTTTTCCGTGCTGAGAGAAAAAGAAAAGGAAAGAAGAAAAGTGTCACGAGGAAAGTGTCGTTTGATCGGCCAGTGACGGGGCACGCTGTCGCGCGCGTGTCACGCTTTCACGAGCCGAACACCGGCGCGGCGTGTCGAACAGTGAACCAGGGGAAAGGGGGGAAAGAGAGGATCCGTCTGCCGATTTTGGACGAGCGTTTCAAATATTTCACACACACACACACAGATATATATGAACATATATGTATGTATATCGATCCTGCGAGATCTCGCCAAAAGTCTGAAAATCACGTGAACAGTGTGAGCGTTCTCTGAAATTGTATTTATCCAAAAAAAAAAAAAAAAGAAAGAGTAACAAAGACGGAGGAAACGCGTCGCTTTCAAATCTCCTCGCTTCCGAACGCGAGGATTTCTCCTCTGCGTGAGAGGGCAGACGACAAAGATAAAGGGACCGAGAAATAAAAAGGAGAAAAAAAGAAAAAAGAAAGAGAGTAACGGTGTAAGGTAGAAAAATCGTGGAAGGCTTGTCGACGGAGAGAAAAGTTGAAGAGAAGTTCGGTGGGATCGGTGGTGGAAGCAGGCAGGCAGGCAGGCAGGCAGGCAGGCAGGCAGACAGGCAGGCAGGCAGGGAGGGAGGGAGACAGAGAGAGAGAGAGAGAAAGAGAAAGACAGAAAGTGAGAGAGAGAGAGAGAGAGAGAAACGCCGGGAGTCGCGGCGGCGTGTCGGAGGAGATAGCGGCATCCGTTTCGGTGCCCGTTGCGGGACGGTCGCCACACCCGCCCGTTTGGGAATTCAACTTACTGCCGCTCGGGACACCGAAAGCGTTCGACGTTTTCTCTCTGCGGCGCGGCCGTGTGTAACGACCGGTATCACGAAAGGCGGTTGTTCGCGGCGGATTAGATTCCGACCGGCGCAGAAATTGCTGCCTGGCCCCACGGCTCTTTCGCTTTTCTGCGCCGCGCTCCCGTGCCGTTACAGACATCCGAACCGTTCCCGGTGAAACGTGACGGACGGAACGCCGAACACCGTGTGGCGGAGCAAGAGATCGTGATTTAAAATTAAAAAGAAAAAGATAACGAAACGACGGGTGCTTTGGTGACAACTTTTTTTTTTTTCGAACAATTCTCGATCGGATTTCGACGTCCACGTTGTGTGTAGTTGATTTGAAAAAAAAAAAAAAGAAAGGGGGGATCGTCCAGAATCGGCACGGATTTTTCGTGGTGATCCAAGGATCGAGCAATAGGTGATTGTTACAGTGGTGAACTGAGTCTTTTTTTTTTTTTTTTCCCCCTTTTGCTTGCTGATTGAATTTTAAAGAAGTTTGAAAAGTTGCGCTCAAGTTACAGCAGAAGTGTGGAAATCTCGGTGCGCCACGCGCACGAGACAGGTGTTTTTCTCTTCGTTGGTTTTCGGTAAGGTGTCACGATACTCTTGTGATTTTCATTGTTCGGATTGCGATCGATCCGAGGCTCGACGTGATATATTTTTCTTTTTTTTTTTTTTTGCGCCTGTTTCGCGTCGTCGTATTACGCGTTTTCAAAGTGTTTCGCTCTGTCTCTCTCACATTTTTCGCGGCTCTTGTGTTCTTCCTCCAGGAAGGTTCGTCCTATTTTGCAGTTTCGTCGGATGTGGCTCGATTTTAAATAAATTGGGGGACCAAAGATAAAAATACGTGCGACAAAAAGTGAACTGTGTCAGAAACGAAAACGAGATTGCAATTATTAAATACCGTCTTAGAATTTTAAAATAATTTCAAATTACAAGCTAATGATTAGTGTAAAACTCCAAACTCCTAAGTTTAAAAAATCTTCGAGTATTGATGTAAACCTTGCATTCAACGAAAAACAAAATAAACAGTATGATGTAGGAAAATTCACTCGACTCGAAAGTATCGGCCATGAAGTTGAAATAAATTTCCATTTGCAGTGTTAAAAACATAGTGACTATAAACGATTCAAATGATGACATCGGCACGTGATACAATTATTATTAATCTTATTTAAAATTAAACGAGACTCGAGGGTTAAAACAAAAGAAAGTACAGTGCCGTAGTTTTCGAAGCTATCAAAAATCCCACTACCATCGAATATAAAAAAAGAAAAAAAAAAGAAACCTGCCTCGGAACGGTCGTCAAAGTCGCATAATTACTCGAAGAAACATCGAACGGCGCGCGTCCGGTTTATAGTCGCGGAATCACGTGGGAAATAAAAGGAGCGGCAGGAAGGAAAGGGAACACCGTTGGGGCGGAAAAATCGCAATCGCAAACCGGGCAGAAATATCGAAACGCGTCGCAAAAAGGAGTGCCAACCTCGTCGAGTTATCGAGTCCAAAGGTCTCCGAAAAGTTTTCCCGACGCGTGGATACGCTCAACGCTGTCCCGTTGGCTCTCTCGCGAATATCCGTGACCTCTCTGTCTCTCCCTGTGTCATCCTCTTCGCCCACCCCCTCTCCCGCCTACCGCGACTGTCCCGCAGCTCGGTGACAACTCGACAAAAATCCCCGCGACCCTCTATCATCCCCAAGTTTCCCAGAAGCCGCACGCCTCTCGCCCGCGAACACGGATCTCTCGGCCCCTTCGATCAATAGTCTAGGTAAACACACGTTACTCGCGGCAGACTGCGTCCCGACACCGCTCGGAAACTGCCAAAAGTGCAGCGTGCATGCCGGTAGGAAGGGGATCCAGGATTGCCCTTTTCCGCTCTTAACTTTCCACCCTACCTCCGAGCTCGCCGTTAAAAACAGACCGAAATTTGGCCTCTTACGATTTTTCACCGATCGGGGAATGATCAGGGGGGAGGGATTCGATTCGACACGCCTCGACGAATGAGTTAATTGACTTTCTGTAATCAAAATATCTTGTTGTTTACTGAAAGAAGAACATGGCGGTTCGTGAGATTCGGGAGTCGGTGTTCGGGAATGTTGCAAGTATTTGGAAACTGCTTTTCGTATGTTTCATATATTTCGGTAGCGATAGCATCTGTTGGATATATTTGCGGAAGTTTGTGTTCTTATAAAAAGTAGCACTCGAGTCTTGCAGCGAGCACAAGATATTGAATATTCTATGTTCGATTCATTTTGGAAATTTCTGGCAAGTTTAGTAAAATACGACGAAAGAGAAAATTCTGGTTAGTACGTGTTGAAAGAGAAGCACATGCTCGGTGATTCGAGAACCATAAGCACACCACGGCGAGATGAGAATTTCGAAATTGTTTCTCTTTTGTATATTGCGATAAATTTTCAACTTCAATCTAGGATATAAGAATTATCTTCCTGCCCGTTTGAAATATTCAGAGATCGTTCCCACATTTTGGACATGCGTATTTGGAATCTGGCTTCTTCATACTTTGAAGAAAAGAAACTGTCCACCTTCTTAATCGCGACCGTCGGTCGGACGCGCTCAATCTCTGCCCACGTGCAACGCGTTAAAACGTAACACGCATCCGCCAGACATCGTCGATTCACCTTCGACCATCGAAATCCACCTTCCAAGCCACGTTCGAACTTAAATCACGCTCCGCCGTCTAGAATTCTCAACTACCGGCCACCGGATAGCGGAACGGAAGGAAAACAAAAGCGAGGAGCAAGAGTAGGGACGTAGTCGTACAAAAAAAAAAAAAAAAGAAAAATCCTCGGAGTGAGAGAGAGAGAGAGAGAGGGGGGGGGGGAGGGCTCGTTTCCGAAAGAGCGCACAGAGGCCGGTGGTTGCGAGCTAGGAGGCACGATGGCGCGACGAATCGAGCAGAAAAGTGGGCGCCGCTGGCTTCCTCTCTCTCTCTCTCGCTCTCCCGGTTCGTCTGGCTTGCGAGACCGATCGTGGAAAGGAGAGAGACGAGGAGGAGGAGAAGGGGAGAGGGGGAGGGAGGATCGGTCGCGTCCTGCGCGGGAAACGGCCGGCCAAAAGCGGCGCGTTACTCGCGTGCGTGCGTGCGTGCGTGCGTGCTTGCGTGCTTGCTTGCGTGCTCACTCTTTCTCTCTCTCTCTCTCTCTCTCTCTCTCTCTCTGTTGGGTGGGTGCGTGTGGCTCGTGTGCGCGCCTGTATATATAGGAGGCGGCCGGGATGGCCGCGGGCCACGAGTAGAGGTGTACGCGTGGTAATACAGTGGCCATGCGAGCTTGATTACACATTGCGATCACGAGTGTTCCACGAG